TCTTCCGCAAGGGCTACCAGCTCTTGGACCCTTATGTCACCGTCAGCGTGGACCAGGTGCGCGTTGGGCAGACCAGCACCAAGCAGAAGACCAACAAGCCTACCTACAACGAGGAGTTCTCTGCCACGGTTACCGACGGCCATCAGATTGAGCTGTCTGTGTTCCACGACACCCCCATCGGCTACGACGACTTTGTGGCCAACTGCACCTTGCACTTCCAGGACCTCTTGCGCTCCACGGGCCCCAGCAACAGCTTCGAAGGCTGGGTGAGTAGCCGTCTCAAGGAGGAGCTGGAGCCGTGCTTCTCTCTGAATGAATGAAGGCGCTCGAAGGGTACTCGCAGAGCTGGGGCTTGTCCTTGCACGCCTGTGCTGCAGATGCACACAGCCTAGCATGTGTCTGCGTTTCCACAGGTGTACCTTCCTGCATCTGTTTGTGCTCCTGCGCTTGAGATTTGCTTACAGTGCTATATAAGGCTGCTGTTTCAGCTGATGCATTTTGGGACCCTGAGAACAAAAAGCCTCGGCTGTCATAGCTTGAGGGTCAAGAACCTGCAGCTGAGGGCTGTCAAGTCTCTCCTCTTTGTAGACTAGCAGGGAGGAGACTTGTAAGACATAACTAGCAAAGTACACCTGCAGACTCACGCGATCGTGTACCTTCCTTCTTTTAGTTAGCACACAGAGACATACTTGGAAACTTGGATACCTCGGGTTGGATGTATTTCTGCTCAGTTCTACACATGCTTGCACAATTGTTTGATGTTGTGCGTGTGAATTTCTTTGACTTCTTAACAGAATGGCAGGACTAGTCTTGTGTCTATTAGGTACACCGCTGTGCTGGTTGAACACGGTTTCACTTACAGCTAATTCTAGGTTATTTCCAAGTAGATGGCACTTGCATCCGGCCCAGAGAACCTCATTTATGTCTTAGTCCTAATGTTAAGAGAAAGGAATAGTACAGGCTCGGAAGTTGTGCCTTTGCTTCCAGTACTGTAAAGGAGGAGGAAGTGACTGCATTGATCCAGACAGTAGTTTGCTTGTAAATGTTAGGTTAAAAAAAAGGAAAAAAAAAAAAAAAGGCATTTCTTCTGGGTAGAGAAGGTGCAGAAGAGCTGAGAGTCTCCAAGGTTAAGATAGGTATTAACTTTTTGAGGCCAGGAAGTTCAGCACGCGTGGTCAGGTAACCACCACAATAAAATCAGACGTGGAGGAAAGAGAGCTGACACTGTAGAGAACAGATAGGCATCTCGATTGTATCGCTGGGGAGGATGCTGGTGCTTTCTGTTCTCAGCCGGTGTCTGTGACTGAGGTGTGATGCTACACCTCTGGGGTGATTACAGGGAAATACCGGTCGCAGGATTGATTTGTGGGTGTATATTGGTACTGTTTTTTTCTTCTTACGGTGTACTTAGGTACCCTATGGATAGGCTTGAGGTTCATGCACTGAAGGTGGTCTCTCTCAGACAGTCACTGATGTGATTTTGTGTCGGGCAGAGGGATCCGAGCTAGCCTCAAACGAGTTAGCTCAGGTATTCCTCCTGTCAGCACAGCCAGAGCAGAGCTCACAGGGCTTTGCTCGGTGGGTGCATACCCAGCTTCCCAGGCTAGTTGTGCCGCTGGAGAGAAACTGCTCCTGGGACTTGGGCTAAAACAGTTTTAAATACAAAACGGACCCCTATGGGTCAGGGCAAAGGAGCGAGCTCAGGATAGAAAGCTGTGGTTTTGAGGGTTTTCTTCGTGTTTGATTTGCTGGGGCTGTTTCCTCTTTGGTGTTGAGAGAGGCCCTATCCTCTCAGGAGGCTGGAGTCCTGGTCACACTGGGTCTGGCTACACGTGGGATTGGACTGCTCTGTTGCAAAGGTGGTGGCCTTATTTACATTACTAAAATATCTATAATAATATTGCCTCCGGTGTGGATGCATGCATGTCCAGGGGCCCGCTCTTTCTTTCATTTCATCCATCCTGCAGTGCTGATTTTTAGGACAGATGCAGCCTGTGGCCTCAAATGCTTGTTTGGTCTTTGGTGAGGGAAAAGTTTCTTATCCCTGCTGGATAGGCAAGTGTTTTATGAACTCCTGTACCTGTGAGTTGATGGGTGCAATGGGGTGGGAAATCAGTGAGTTTTTTAACTAGTCTGATGTAAACGGATGTTAGATCTGGGCATGTAGACAGAGGCTGAGCTGCTGCTCTCCTTTTCAGTTAATCCACCCCAGTTGTAATTTTTAGACATTTAGTGGGGAGTGAGCAAGCGTTCATCTTCTGTTCCCTTTCTCCTCTCCCCTCCCTTTTAACTTGCTTTGTTAGCATCTCGCATAGCGTGCGGCCAGGATCACATGATGACAGGGAACAGCATCTTGCCCTGATAATTTAATATGTCTTGATAAATCCAGCAAGGCTGTCATGCGGTTTTGTGTAATCAGAAAGATAGGAAATGCTGGTTTGTACTAACCCAAGGCCCATGAACTGCTGGCACGGTAAAAGACACCACAAGGGATTTGTAGATGACTTAGAATCACAGAATCATTAAGGTTGGAAAAGACCTCCAAGATCATCGAGTCCAACTGTCAAGAAACCGACTTGCAACACCTCCACTCTGAAATCCTTCATACTGCCCTTTTTCCATCCCCAAAGTAAAAGCACATACAGGCAAGGAAGGAGTGAATGGAGCGAGGGGAAAATTGGTGAATCCTCAAAGATTAACCTGGCTTACACTTACTTGGCTGTGCACGATTTTTCATTTTGATTTGAGATAGAATTTTTATGTTCACTTTTCAGAGACAAAGACAACAATATATTGGTAAACTCCAAATGCTCCTTGGATTGATAACAGCCAAACAGGGCAGGGCAACTGGCTGCCTCTGCTCCCTGAGCTCTCTGGAGAGCCGTGGAGAGCCGAGCTGCTGGGGATTACCTGAGACAGTCCCTCAGCTCACGTGCTGGCCTGAAAGTTTTGGCGTGAGCTCTGCTATAAACAGCTGTGCTGTTTATAAATGGATTTTCTCCTGGGAAAAAAAAAAGTGATTAGTTGTAACATTGGTCACCACCTCTTGTGAGAACTGTACGAAGTGTCAGCGAGAGGCAAGCAGGAGCAGTTGGTGTGTGTAAGCATTGGTGCTTCCCAGATGACTTACAGGTACATCACTGTAGTTATGACCCCAAACACTTACGCAGATGAGTAAGTGTATGGACATGAACTGTCTCATCAGTAATGCTTATACACGTGAGTCATCCCACTGGCTACTGGGACAAAGTTCTCTGTTCATGGTTTGCATTAAAATCCATGTTTCAGAGACTCTTCAGAACTGACCCTTTTTCTTCTAACCATTTTGATTGTTTTCTGAAGTCTTTCTAGTAAACACATTAGCGTGGTCTGGATATTTTTTAATTTGCGTATTAGTTGTTGAACACATTTGACTAATTTTACACAGATCAAATCTGTAAGAGCTTATTAACTTCAAGGACCTTCTCTCTGTTTCCCATTTCTTATATTTACTTGTCAAGTTGCAGAGCAGTCGTTTTTATTAATATTGTCAATTAAATACCAGCTCGCCTTCAGCATACTTTAATGTAGTTAAAACCGGGAGCGACCTCTCCGGTACCATGTTCTTTCTGGTAGGCATTTTCCTGTGTGGGTGTGAAATTGTGCAAACCTGAATGGTAGCATTTTACACAGGCGCACATGACCCTGCCAGGTACACCGTAGCAGAGAATTAAGCTGGTTGCTATCCGAAAGCTGTTGTTATGTTTTACATCAGGGTTGAAACTTGTGCAAAATTAAATGCTTTAAAAGGCTAGCGTGTGTTAAGATCTTTTTACTTGGCATACGCATCTTTAAAAGGTAGCATCTCCTCTTTAACTGTCTCTGAGTGCAGTATAGGAAGCAGTCATATGTCAGTGAAACAACATAAATAATTTGGAGTACTGCGTTGTAACTGAAAGGGGAGATGTTTACAATACATAGGATTATTCCCATGGGTTTTATGTAGTAGCTGAAGTAATTTTTAAGTGTGGGCAAACACTATTTACAGATACTGAATTGCATTGTTACTAGGGAATTATTTAATTACGATTGTAAAAATTGTTAGTCCCTGAGTAGAGATGTCATAGTTTCCAGGGCTTTAACAAGGAGTTAAAATTAAACCTTGATCTTGAAGTAGCAAATGATCAGAGTATACTGAAGGAAATTAGATAACAGATGCATTATAAGATTAATGAGCCAATTGCAGCTTCCTGATGAGTTTGTTACCATTTGCTCATGTGTGCAGGAAGAGATTAAGACAAATAATTCTCATGCATTCCTTAACTTGAGCTCTTTCGCCTGTATCCTTTCCTATGATTTTTTTCTTTCTTAAGGCAAAAAGAATTGTGTTTTACCTATGTTTATATGCAGTTGTATTTATTGAACATTAAATTGAAAAGTTAGAGGAGAATGCAACTTCTTCCCCAGAGCATCGTGACCTTGGCAGAGAGCCAGGGTGCTGCAGGTCAAATATGAGATGGTTTCTTCTTGTTTTAACCCCCGCTTCGCTGCAGTGTTCTCCAGGTGGGCAAAACTTGCATCAGGAAGCCAAAAGTACTTTATGGCTGTTGACAGAGGATTTTGCGATGCAATATTTTGTGTCTGCATTAGCTTGTAGAGCGGGAGTAAATGGTGTCTCCTTCCATAGGCCAGTAGCAGGCTGAGATAAAGAGCAATAGCAATCTGTCCATATGATTTCTGTTTCCATGCATGTGACAACCATGTACATAGTGCAGATCTCTGACCTGTGTGAAAGTCGCGCTGCACATCAATTGCAAACTAGGCTTGAGTAAACTAAGCTCCTTCCCTATTTCTTGATAAGTTTTAAGTTGTTTCTGTAATTATTGGTACTGATATGCGGTTATTATGTTGAATGGGAATAGTGGAGAGAAACACCCACTGCAGAAGGTAAGTTGGTTTTTGAAAGCTACCGGAATTTGTCTTCTGTTTCTTTCCTTTAGCATACAGCTGTCCTTTGGCCCTACAAACAAACCCTTCAAAATGCCAGCAGAGTCTCGTGCACCAAGGCTACCCGAGTGTGCCTTGCAGCCTAAAACAAAGGCTGTAATAAATAAAGGAAAAATTGTTGCTATTTGTCAGATATTAAATAATCCTGGGGTGTGTGATGCTAATAACAGTTTTACTGATCAAGGCCGATGAGAAAGACTAGAGCTGAGTGTGTCACGAAGAGCTGCACACTTACTGCCCTCTTTCAGCATCAGAAGCTGAGCTAATTAGGAGTCCTATT